CAACTCAGTGAAACCCTGTCTCTAAATAAAATACCAAATAGGGCTGGGGATGTGGCTCAGAGTTTGAGTGCCCCTGAGTTCAATCCTGGTCCCTGCCCCCACTCCCAAAAAAACAGCTGGGGATCAATCCCTAATATCATAAATAAATAAGCAAACAAATATATATTTGAATTATTTTTCAATAAACAAGTAATATTATAGGAGCAACTAAAATTAACTAGTTAAAACAACTAGCATAAAGTCAATAAAGAATCCCAAGTTTGAGGCCAGGCTCAGCAACTTAGCGAGGCCCTACAGAACCTAGCAAGACCCTGTATCAAAATAAAAAAATAAAAAGGGTGTGGATGTAGCTCAGTTAAGTGTCCCTGGGTGTAACCCCCAGAATGGAAGGAAAAAAAGTCCAAGCTCCAATGAAATACACAAACACACACACACACACACACACACACACACACACACACACTCTCACCCCGACTCCTGTATGTAAAATTTCAAAATAACATTTATTATTTATGATAAACAACACTGACAAATTCTCTAATACACAAATATCCCACTTTCATCTAACAGAAGATTGTAAATACTAAAACTACATACTAAAGCTTATTTTATTTTTCATATTTAAAAATATTAGATAAGAAAAAAATGAATCAACTCAAGTTTATAAAAACATTCCTCATTATCAATGCTTTTACAAAAATATTCCAAAATGCCTGCCTAGAGATTACAAGTATGCTAACAAACTTTTATTTGTTTATATCTAAAAATGTTTTAAATTAGAATCCTTACTTGCATATATCTGTAGAATCCTGAGTTCCTAAAGCATATAATGAAGAACCAATTCTATTGTAATCATCTGCAGCACCTATGGAAAAAGTTTCAAGAATATATTTGGTCATTAATTTAAAAATACTGACTGAACAGCTATCTGCAACATGTGAGATACACCAAATCAAGTAAAGTAAATAACATAAACAACCATAACTATTCAATGGATATTATATTGGGTACATGTGAAAACTGCTTTAAGAACAGAGGAAACAGATGATTCCTACTTCAGTAAGTCAAGAAAGGATTTACAAAACTATAGAATGAGCTGGAGTTTGTATGATAAGCAAATCTTTACCAAACAAAGGATAACATTTTGCATAAAGGGAATAAGATAAATACATATCATAAAGAAGAATAGTATATTCAAAGAGCCTGGGGTGGGACTGCAGGATGCATAGGGGAGTTAATGGAATAAAAGATCATATAGGCCATGATAAGAGTTTAGATTTGATCTTGTGACAATGGATCTTATTGATCATATTTATGTCATAGTAGTGGTAAACTCCACCTGAGAAGGATTTTAGATATTAAAAAATTCTGTGGAGAAAAAAAAAGCAGGATGACCAACCAGCAAACTGTTCCAATAACCTGATATCAAACCTCTGAAACTGTGAGCCAAAATAAACTTTTCCCCTCTAAATTGTTCTTGTCAGGTCTTTTCGTCACAATGATGAACAGCTAACTGAAACAGTAGCTGAAACCAGGAAGGTTTCCTGGCTTGGTTATTGGTAACAGAAACCCTCACAAAAGAAGGACACAAGAACAGAAGTAGCCAAGCCAGAGACTTATTTTTTCCTGTTACTATAAAATGGAGGTTAATTCTAAGTACTCACTCTACTGACTTGACTGTATTTCAGAGGTTATCCAAATTTTGATCTTAGGATTCCTTTACATTCTTAAAAATTACTGAGGAATCCGAAAAGTTTCTTTTTACATGTTATTATCTATCAATATACGCTGTATATTTTTTAAAAATGTAAAACAGAAAAATTTTGAACATTTAGTAATTTATTTAAAATTAATAGCATTAGGGCTGGAAATGTGGCTCAAAAGTAGAGTGCTTCTTAGCACACGTAAGGCACTGAGTTCAATTCCCAGCACCACAAAACATAAATAAAAGGAAAGAATAAAATTAACATACCACTGAGTTACATTTAAACCCAGCCTGTTTAAACCCATATTTATATAACTAAACTTTCAAATGAAAAAGAGCTATTTTTAAAAAAATTAGGGAGGAGCATGACAACATTACATTTTTATATATCTCTGTTGTACCTGGTTCAATAGACAATAGATTCTCATTATTTGCTTCTGCTTTCATTCAATCTGCTTTTCATTCGATCTACTATGATAATACTGCTTTTAAGTATGTGGGAGAAAAAAATCCAGCCTACACGGATATATAACTAGAAAAGGAAGAGGTATTCTACTA